GCTTGGCATACACAAGACCCTGAGTTTAATCTCCAGCATCATAAATAAGTAATTAAATAAATGAACAAGGGAATGAAGTGATCATTCTCTGATGTCCACAGTGGTAAACCACAGCAAGCCCAGCAGGTGGCACAGGCCAATAACCCCAGCTACTTGGGAGGCAGAGACAAGAGGATTCTAAAAGTTCAAGGCCTGCCTTGAGTCCGAGTCAACCTGGGCAGCCTAGCAAGACCCTGTCTCAGACTAAAAGGGTAGAAAAAGAAAGTGCTGGGTCATTCATAGCCTGGTGGTAGAGCCCTTGCAGGGAGCCCTGGGTTCACCGTGTACAGAACAAATAAAAAGGATGGGGCTTGAAAAGAGCCATTAAAATACTGCCTTTTCAAAAAACAACTGCCTGTTCGTAGCAACTGGGCACATACTTACAGAAGAGGCGCTGGTCTTAGGCTAGCGGTCTTGTTATCTCTGCTGAAATGAGGGTCCATAACAGGGTGTTCAGAGCTGCGGTTCCAAAGACAGAACGCCCGGGTGACTTAGCGTGTGACAAATTCCCACTAGGGTCACAAGGTCAGAATCACGGGCATGGGCAGGGCTAGGGGTTATCTCTCGTGGTGATTAGAACGGAGAACAGACTGGGAGGAGGGGAGATCAAGGGACCAGCAGGAATGTAGCCATCTTTCTTATTATCTTTGAGAAGTGGCTATATTCTTCCAGCACCATGGGAACCTCCTCCTTGGGGTGACTCCTGTCAATTTAAAAATGACTCCAAGACCGCCCTTGTGCCTCCTGTCCTCCCGGAAAGAATGACACAAACTGGTCCTCTCGTCTCTGCAAAACCAGTTTCCAGGCTGCCGCTGGGTCACCTCCCATGGAAGCCAGCAATGGAGGCGCCCAGGAGGGAAGCCACATTTGCTGGTTCAGCTCCGGGCACCAGGCCAAGTGCTATCAGGCTGGGGAACCATCAATCAGCAAGGGGAACGGGAGGGACAGGCCTAAGCCTCCCTCACAGCCTGCGGCATCTGGATAATTCTCAGTGCTAGCATGGCCGCCCAGCACAGGGTCCGGGCAGAGGGACTCAAGAGGCCAAATGTACCCTGTCTTCATTTCTAATATACACGTGGATATGCCAGCCAGGAGGGAATGGTGACTCACACACTCCACCTTCCTGTAAACCAAGTCCAAAATCCCGAGAAATCAACTCCCAAGTTACTCTCCCCACCCGCCAAAATGCTAAGAGCTGGGACCAGAACTCAACTGGGAGCCTGTTCGCTGCACACGCAAGAGGACCTCGTTTATTCCCAGAACACTGGTAAAACACAGGGCACGGTAGCACACACTTATAATCCCAGAGCTGGGGAGGTAGAGACAGAATCCCCGGGGCTTGCTGGCCTAGTTGAACAGGCGAACCATCAGCTAGACAGAAATTCTGTCTCAAAAAACAGGTGGACAGCTCCACCCTAGATTTGGCCTCCGCACGAGGACACACACACAGGGTCAGGGTGAGGGAGATTAAAAAAAAAAAAAAAGGTGCTTTTTAGGTAGAAGAGGAAGAAAACCCCTCTCATGTCCCAGACCCAGAAGTCAAGCACCGGGCCAAACTCACACCCAACAAAAAGGAGAATTCCAAAAGGATCTGGGGGGAGGGGGGGGTTCCTGAACACAGAAGGTAAGAGCACTAGAAAGGCCTCTGGTCTACAGGATGTGTGCGGTGGAGGCAGCTGTCGCCGAAGCTGCAGGCAAAGTTCAGAGCTGACTGGCTCCAGGGTCTTAAAAATCCAGTCTCTTGAATTCAGGTCAAAGAGTGTGGGGCTAGCTGAGCCTCTCCATCCCTCCTGCCTGGATCCACCATGGAGAGAGGTGGTAGAGGAGGCAGATGCCACAGGAGCGCCCAGCACCCCTACAAGAATCTGTCTGGAACTAAGAACATAGCAGCTCCTGGAACCCCGGAACTCACCAATGTGCTTGGCCCTGCTGGGTGTGGCTAGGAGTTGGGGTTGGGGTCAGGAAACAGATGCAACCAATTCCTGAATATTCAGGGTTCTGGGTTTGTTGGATTGTTCCCAGTGACAACAGCAGAGTAAACAGGTGGTCCCTTCTCAATCAGAAACCTTTCACCTCTCAAAGAAAGCCTTTCCCAGAACTTTGGCGGAAAGAACAAACCTTCCAGAAAAGAGAGAGCTGGCAGCCTAATGAAAGCACCCATCGGAAAGCCTTAGTGTTCTCAGGAAAACTCGCAGGCCAAGGGAACATCCCTGGGGCCTCGCCTACTCCAAACCACAGATTCCACATTACACTTCACCCAGCCAGAGGGGCACCCTGTGCTGACATGGCTGGACTTGAACCTGGGACCTGGGGCTCCAAGCCCTCCTCTTTGCTGCTGTAGAACATTGGTGAAGGAATTAAGGCAACACTGGAGTCGGGACAGGAGGCTGGCAGCCTTGAACAAAACCAAGTTCTCTGCCTATCTCCCCTGAGATCCATCCACAAAGCCGTGATTTTAGCGGAGCTATGAAGGCTAATAGGGATTGGTGGGGGTGGCGGGGCTCAGCCAGGGTGCCTCTAGTTTCTATGACAGCCTAGAAAAATACTTGCTCAGTTGATTCCCAAAGTAGTTAAAATATTGACAGTCCCGTCTTTGTTTCAACATTAAGGCAGAAACCACAGTCTCTACAGGGGACCAGGTTAAATTAGCAAAGCAAGAGGGGATGTAAGTTCTGCCCAGTCATCCAGCTTTATATGGAGATCAGGGTAAATACGCGCGCGCGCGCGCACACACACACACACACACACACACACACCAAGGTCTCACATTCCTGCCCCTGCCCTATGTACACAGGTAAAGGAGCCCCTACCACATCCAGAGTCACCAAGACCTATGGTCACTAGTCTGTAATTAGTTCCTGGGAGACATAAAAATGAGTAGATGATACAAAAAATAATGATGGCAGTTTAAAAAAATGACTAGAAGGTGTTACCATGAGGGGCACAATTACCATCACTGGCAACAGAGGCCACGCACGACCTAAGGAAACAGGCAGCATCCTGTAGGGCAGTAAGTAGAAAGGGCTCGGGAGCCCTGGTTTGTTTGGGGTTTTTTTTCTCTCAAATTTGGGGTCACCTATTTGGGTATCAAAACACCTAGCTGGGAGTCACCCCATTGTATCCCCACCTGTCAGCCCCGTGGTCAGACACTAGTCCTACATGAGACCACTGACTGACTTCAACGTGACGCCAACCTCTCACTGAGTAGTGGAATTTACGTCCCCTGTGCTGTTAAACCTCACACGACTGCAAGAAAAAGAAACATCCACCCTGGCTGACGTCCTACAGACCCTGGCCTAGCACTCAAGGCTGCTTGTCCCTCTGCCCAAGTGGCATAGCTCGGGGACTTTGAAGGTGTGTGTGTATCCTGCCCATTTGCACTGCAGAGATTCAGCCTGGGCGCTACTGAAGGGCACGTGGAGATCTAGCTCAGCACAATGTTCATTTGGCACAAACGTTGGTATGAGTGTAGGCCAGAGATCAACATTAGGTGTTGCCCCTCGAGACGCTGTCAACCTTGTCTTTGGGGACAGGACCTCTCGTTAATCTGGAACTTGACAAATAGGGTAGGCTGGCTGACCATTAATCCCCAGGGATCTGCCTGTCATCTACTTCCCAGCACAGGAATCACAAGTATGCACACCCCTCCGTGACTGCTAGAGATCCTCCCGTGCACGGCAAGTCTCCACTGAATCCATCTCCCCAGTCCCCATTTGCACTAAACCATACCAGTCTACAAAGGCAGAAACAGGGCAATCTGGCACCAGGTGGGCACATCTCTTGACCCTAGCTCCACCGTGGCTTGGCCTTTTGATAGGTTCAGGGCCAGTGACAACCCATCTCTGGCATTTGCTAAGCACTGACCGGACTGCTTCCTCTTAGATTTATTTACCTGAGACACTGCCAAAGAGGAACTGCTTGCCGGCTCATCACCCAGATCCAAACAAACTCTGTCCACGTCTTTATGGAGATGCATATTTTCACAATGAAATGTTTCGGCTCCAGGAATATATTTTAAGACTTATATTTTCATCTCCTACCACACCCTTGTTTTTCCTGGCAAGGCCCTCGGAGTTTCAAGTGGGATGGACGGAGAGCAGAAGGCAACGCTGGTAGACAGTTCTGCCCTCACAAGTCCCTGGCAGTAAAGATGGTTTGTGACCACAAGCGTTCTTTGTAGTAACAAACATCAATGAATACCTGGCCGGAAAAATCTCATTTTTGACTCTATCCCTTCCACGCGGCATAACCTTCCCCCCTCCACCCCTGGGAGGGGGCGATCCACAACTCTACTTGCCCCTCCTGGAAAACTGCTTCCACCCAAACGGACTTTCACAACTCTGGCTGCTACTGATTTTGTCCTTCACAACAAAGTTGAGTCTCTGAGGTCCAAGTACATACTCTCGTGGCACAAAAGGCTTCAGAGAAACCGTCCCCAAGTAAATAAAACACCAGGTTTCTGAGCAGCGCAGACTCCGGAGCCTTTGTGCCTAAGAGCAGGGTCAGGCTGGAGCAATTTCAGCAGTTTCTCTCCTCCCCCGGCGCCTAGAGCCCAGGCTTACAGGAGTTATCTCAACTTCTCCGGTGTTTGGGTGGGAACCGGGACTCACAAGTCACACCAAACACAACCTCCATTGTGGTCTCCTGAGGACACATCCCAGGGCGGCGGTGCCTGGCAGTCCCACCTCCCCCACTGAGGTCCGAACCCTTGCCGGCCCGAGGGCCTGGCGTTCGGGAACGGTTGACATTATTCCCGTTTCACACCCGGAAAACCGAGGTTCTAAGTCGACAACTCATCAAGGGCCAGGCTGCTAAGAGGCATAGCCTCATCAGCGCCCAGGTTCGCGTTATCTCCTCACGACCGTCTCTACTTTGTGTGTAAAGGTCCCTTCTCCCGGAGAAGTCTGAATTCCCCCTCGCCGCCCACTCCGCCCTGAGCGGCCCAGTCCCGCCGCACCCACCTCGTCGCCGAAGCGCACCAGCTTCTGACCCGTGGGCCCGCGCAGGCCAGGGAAGCGCGCCGGGTCCCCCAGGTCCCCCGCGTCGGCAGCCGGCGGGGAGCGCGGCCCCACCAGGCAGCGGTCGATGATTTCGTCCTGCTGCGCGGGCGGCAGCCGCGCCCACTCGGGCCCGTACTTCTCCCTGATCTTCTCCTTGTCTTGCATGATCTTCCTAGCCATGGGGCTCAACGACGAGAAGTAGGTGAAGCGCTTCCGCTCCCGGTCGTCCAGCGGCCGGTTCCCGCTCATGACGGCCGAGCGCGAGGCCGCGATCGCCGCCGCCATCGACGCCATGCCCGGCCCGCGCGTCCCGGCCCGAGCGCCGCCTCCCGGGCCGCCCGCGCCCCGCCCCGGAGCTCCGCCCCCGTCTCCGCCCGGAGCTCCGTCCCTACCCCACCCGCTGCGCCTGCCTCCGCCCCTGCCTGAGCACCGCCCCAGACCTTCCCGGGACTCCCTTTCTCCGGGCTACCGCTTCCCCACCAGATACCGGTCCGGACCTCGAATCGTCCCGGAGCCCTGTAGCCACCTGAAGTCCCGCCTCCACTCGGAGGTCCATCCCCACCTGGAGTCCCGCCCCCATCCCGAGCCCCACTCCCCGAGCTCCTCTGCTCGCAGCCCTTCAATTTCCTCACAGTGGGGGCGCTTTCCCGGACCCCGAGGCCTCGCTGGGGCGGCTACTGTGTCTGTGATCCGTGCGCTGCAGTTGGAGATAGCTACTGGGGTTAATCCCAGGCAAAGACCGCCATGGCGCCACGTGGCACTGATGACAAAGGAAACTTCTTCCTGCACGTGCTCAATCATCCCGGCTCCTTTGCGCTCGCTCTTGCGCAGTGCATTTTCGGGTTTACCCCTTGTTTGCTAGACCATCTGCCACGCTGGGCTGGAGTCCAGGCGTGGGCACTGACCCACCACCCATTAATGAGGTGTCGGGTCCCTGTCCCTGGTAGTCTTCAAGAAAACTTCCGTCAAGCCTGGCATGGAGACACTGACTTGTAATGCCCGCACTGGGCAGGCCTAGGCAGGAGGACCATGGCAAACTCAAGGCTAACCTGGGTTATATAGCGAAACCCTGTCTTACTACCACCATCCCCACAAAAAGAAAGAAAGCCCCCTGCTAAAAGAGGCAGCGTGAGGGAAATGCCCCAAGCTCCAAAGGTCTTTCCCTTTTCTGCGGAGCTACACACAAAGCCCTCTTCTCCATGCCTGCAGAGATCTTGCTTTCTGTGATGCTTGCCCCACGAGATGAGGCAGTCACCCCCCCCCCACCCCTGCCCTCCATGTTAATTAGATCTCAGGACTGGGCTATGTCTTTAAACATCACTCAGAGTCCTAAGCATAATCAAAGAACTCTAGTCAGCAGACTCTGGTCAGTGTGAGGAACCTATAGCCCGTCAATTTAAGGGAGGGGCAAACCGAAAGTTTAAACTTCCAAAAATGGCCAAGCTAATCCTGGAATCTCAGAAATCACAGGAACTCCGGGAGGTTTGCTGTCTGCAAACAAAGTGAAGAGGATGGAAAATTTCCACGGGGAAGCAGAGGACGCGGATCCCCAAAGGGGTCAGGCTTGCTCGCCGTGCTAGTGTCTTTGCAGACCACAGAGTTACACAGGGCTGTGGAATGTTTGGGCCCCCACCCACTGTCTGATTTTCACCAGACTGTAACAGGTCCCAGGTAAGCATTATGTCCACTTCTGAAAAAGAGCTAAATACCCATAGTTGCCTCCAAAGTAGCCCATGCCTAACACTAAAGGCAAGTGCAGAAATAACTGGAAAGGCCTTGATCTAAGTGGAATGTCACAGAGGTGGCAGACTCTGTAATAAAAGATACCAGCCACAACCAAGAATCTTATCAGGGTAGTGGGGATGTGGCTCAGTTTGCAGAGTGTCCCACATGCGTCTGAGGTCTACCTCCAGTACACTATAATCAGGCATAGTGACATACACACATAATCCCAACACTGAGGTCAAAGCAAGAGGATCAGACATTCAAGGCCATTCTCAGCTACATAGTCAATTCGAAGCTGGCCTGCACTATATAACAACCTGTCGCCAAGTGTGTGTGTGGGGGGGGAGGGTGGTGGTTCACACCAGAGACTCTACCATTGAGGAGGTAGAGACAGGAAGATTGCCATGAGTTTGAAACAAACTCATGTTTGTTTCAGTGAGTTCCAGGCCAGCCTGAGCCACAGTATAAGATTATGTCTCAAACAATGAATAAATAGAAATCTTGTTGGTGAGATGGCTCAGTGGTTAAGAGCACTTGCTGCTCTTGCAGAGGGCAGGAGTTCACTTCCCAGCGCTCTCAGGGCTGCTCACAACTGCCTGTCACTCCAGTTCTGGGAAATCAGATACCCTCTTCTGGCCTCCGTAGACAATGCATGCATGTGGTGCACTTGCATGCAGGAAAAACACTCATATTCATAAAATAAAAACAAAACAAATTCTCATCAGAATAACACGATGAAGAAATGAGAAAAAAAGCAAAGCTGTCAGACGTCAGCTGAGTCCTGTATATGAAGGATTCTTTAAGAAGCCACAGACTTGGGACGCTCGCTGGGTTTTTATTATTACCTATTTAAATGGGACTATAACAAGTCTCATTTACAGGCTCAGTACACTGGCTTCAACCCCCTGATTTATCTCCACCCACCCCCTTTTAATACACAAATGGTACTTGAAGACGTGTGTTCTTGAACTGTGAGTGCTCAGCTGCGCATGAGTCATCCTAGGAACCTCCCCCGTGCAAGAACCAGGGAACACTGCAGAAGAGCAGGCACAAAGGTTAAGGGAGCCATGAGGAGAGCTGCCAAATGTTCACTTTTGGACATGGCATAGCTGTTGTGCAAATCATCTCAGCAGCTGTGATCACCTGCACAAGACCTATACAACATCAAGCCGGTCAAAATGGCAGTGTGAACTGGGGATGGGCCCTCAAGGGCCCATGCTTGGTGGGAAAACCATTAACAGTCAGGGGGTGCTGAGGGAGGTATAGTCACGCTCCTTTTGGTAGAGGCTGCTAATAGGTTGCTCACACCCTAGTGGGTAGTCCCACGCCCATGCATATATAGACAGCACTAACTAGACTCAGGGTTAGGAAGACATGAAGTCGAGAGGGACACAGATTGGGGGCATAGAGGAGAACTGAGGAAGGATGGATATTATTAAAATACATGGTATAAATGTACAAAAACTTAAAAGAATTAAAAATTCTGCTTGTTTTTGTTGTTGTTTCAGGGTTTTGTTGAAACAGGGTTGTGGTGATACCTTGTTTGTATTCTAACAAATAAAGCGTGCCTTTAGATCAGAGGGTGGAACTAGCCACTAGTTAACCATAGCGGTCTGGAAGTCTGTACTAACAGACAGGAAGTGATATGGCTGGGCGGAGAGAGGAATAGAAGGCAGGAGGAGACAGGAGCTCAGCCCAGTTTTCCACTGAGGAGTCAGCAAGGTAAGAGTTGGCTATGGTTTGCTCCTTGTCTCTCTGACCTTTCAGCGTTTGCCTTACTATCTGGCTCTGGGTTTTTATTATTAAGACCAATTGGAACTTGTACAAGCCAAGGTTTCTCTGTGTAGTAGGCTGCTCTGGAACTCGCTTTGTAGACCAGGCTGGCCTTGCTCTCAGTATTTTAATTAATATCATGTGCTCACCTTGAAACTACACAGGAAGGGTATCTGGTTTCAGGAAGCTGGCCTCATGCTGTTTCCAAAGCAGTGTGGGGCTGGAGAGATAGCCCCCTGGTTAAGAGCATAGGCTGCTCTTGTAGAGGACCGGAGTTCAGTTCCCAGGACCTACATGGCAGCTCACAACTGTCTGTAACTCTAGTTCTAAGGGATCTGACATCCTCTTATGACCTCTGCAGGCACTTCATGTATGTGGTGCATTGACATACACACACAGGCAAACATTCATACACATAAAATAAAAATTAACAACTTCTTTGTTGTAGAAAGCAGTTACAAAAATAAGTGCTGTTTCCAAAACAAACAAACAAAACAAGTTTTGTTAAGTTATATTTTGGAGCAAATATAATTTATTGCCAGACAATTTTCTGCAGTGTTATAAATCTGAAGCCAGCTGTAATGGTTAAGTCTTTAACCCCAGCTCCTCGGGAGGCTGAGGCAGGAGGACTGAAAGTTCAGGACTGCTTAGGCTACATGGTGAGTGACGGCTGAAAAGGGGACAGAGGAAGACCTTGGATGGGAGGCTGCTTTCCCATCGAGCACTCAGCACTTCAAGGTGCGTGCTGGGCCGTGCCACTGTCTGAGCCCAACAGTGTCTTCTCTATTCTTTCAGGTGGGGAGAAGAAAACATGTGAGAACATGCATGGTCTGTGTGTGGACAGGCTCCTACATCTGGTGGTAGTTTGGGAGGCCGTGAACTTTTGAGAGGTGGGTCATAGCAGATGGGTTATGGGGGGTTAGCTTTCATGTTTCACAGACTGATCCACTTCAACTTTCTTCTGACTCCTGTTCCACTGGGATGTGAACCGGCAGCTGCACTCTCCAGCTGCCGTGCTCCCCCAGCCATGATGGTCCAGACCTCACAACACAGGCCTTAAGCTTTGTCTTATGTTTGATCACAGTACTGAGACAAACAGCTGACTTAACACATAAACACATATGCCAGAGAAAGAACCAAATACACAGCTAACTGATTCTTGAATGGTAAGGGGACCTCCATGGCCTTGTGATAACAGCAGGTGAGTGGGGCCGATGGGCCACCCTGGCCACTGTGTTCCGCCAGCTCAGGACCAGGTAGACAGGCAGAGCAGCTGTGCTCAGGACGCCCAGGGCCAGCAGTTGGGCGCAGCGGTGCTCTGCTTTGATTGCCGTTTCCACCCCTGTAGTTTCTCCATCACATGCTCACGTCCGCTTCTGTGTGTTGGAGCTTTGAAGATGAGGATCTCATATGTAGCCTAGGATGGCCTCACGATCCTCCTTTCTCGGTTTCTTAATTGCTAGGATTTTGGGATACACCTCCACATTCAACTTAGATTTCTTTTTTGACTTGGTCTTGGAGTTTACGGTCATTCTGCCTCAGTTTCCTGAATGCTGGCACCTACATCTTTTTTTTTTTTTTTTTTTTTGAGACAGGGTTTCTCTGTGGTTTTGGATTGGAGCCTGTCCTGGAACTAGCTCTTGTAGACCAGGCTGGTCTCGAACTCACAGAGATCCGCCTGCCTCTGCCTCCCAAGTGCTGGGATTAAAGGCGTGCGCCACCACCGCCCGGCTGGCACCTACATCTTAACGAGAAATGAGGTGCCCACTTAGAAAGTGTTCACTGAGCTGAACCTGCATTTTCTAGGTGGGTGTATTCTGCCACCAGAGGTTCTGTGGAGGCAAAGGCCTA